AGAATTACAGAAGGATAATGGAGACAATCCAACACTATTCATTCGAGGCGGCAAACTTAATTATGTACAACATCATTGCAAGAATTAGGTCGCCATTCGGCTGTCATCATCTCCCTTCTTGTAAAATGAAAAATAATTAATCCCCGGGGAGAGAAAGACGATGAAGGAATCATTGAAATGGATGGCAGCTTCAAGTGGGGGAAAAAAAAATGGAAAGGACTCCGAAAGAACATTAGTTCTATTCCCCAAGCTTTGGGCAGGTAGTCTTCGGCTTATGTCTGTCATTGAGCCCGCAGTTATGGCCATAAATCATCCAGAGATCGTCTTGGACTTACGGCCATCGTTAAACCCACAATTCCAGCCATAAAGAAATTGTCCTCCACTTACAACCATCATTAAGCCCATAGTTATGGCCATAAGTCATGTAAAGATAGTCCTCGACTTACGACAATAATTCAACCCACAATTACAGTCATAAACAGATAGCCCTTGACTTATGACCATATTTGAGCCTGCAAGTACAGCCATGAACAGATAGTCCTCGACTTACAATCATAACTGAGCCCACAATTGCAGTCATAAACCATCTGCAGCCATGAGGGTGAACCTATGGCACGCTTGCCACAAGTGGCACGCAGAGCCATTCGTGCCGGCATGCGAGCTGCAGGCAAACATACCTCACTGTGCACCTGCGCACCTCCCAGCTGATTTTCAGCCGGTTTGAGGCCTTTTGGGGGCCTCCCAACAGCTTGAGGAAGGCTTCTGCAGGCTTCTGCAGGTTTTGCAGGCCGAAAACTAGGCCCGTTTCGTCACTTCCTGTTTTTCCGAAAATACCGGAAGTGACGAAATGGGCCTAGTTTTCGGCCTGCAAAGCCTGCAGAAGCCTTCCTCAAGTCTCTGGGAGGCCCAAAAAGGCCTCATACGGGCCGAAAAACAGCTGGGAGGTGCAGTGCAAGTCAGGGGGTGACGGGGGTGGGTGGGTGGGGATTGTGTGTGCATGCGTGGGGGCCATGGGGGGCCCCTGCATTGCCTTCTGGGTGCTGGCATGCAAGCACGAGCATGCAAGCATGCACACAATTTTTGGCAGAGGAGCCCCAAAAGGTTGGCCACCACTGATCTACAGGTAGTCCTCGACTTACGACTGTTTGCAGTTATAAAGGCACTGAAAAGAGTGACTTATGACTGCTTTTCACACTTGTGACCGTTGCACCCTCCCTGCGATCACGTGATCAAAATTCAGACGCTTGGCCACCGACTCTTCTTTTATGACGGTCGCCGCATCCTGGAGTCAGGCGATCCCCTTTTGCAACCCTTTCCGACAAGCCACGTCAAAGGGGGAAGACAGATTCGCTTAAGAAACTGGGGGACCAAGTTATCCCCTGCGGTGACTTACTTAACACTGGCGGCAAGCAAGGCTGTAAAATGGGGCAAAACTCACTTAACAACATGTCTCCTTTGAACAATGGGAAATTGGGGCTCCATTGCGATCGGAAGTCGAGGACTACCTGCGCAAGGAATTATTTCAGAATTAGAATGGGCCGATGGGAAAGGGATCTTTGCTCTCCTCTTAAAGATGTCATGCCCTTGTCTGCGTCTGAATCCAAGGAGGAAGATGATTGGCTGTGGAGGAAACTGGAGAAGGGCAGAGTCCGACTGGGCAGAGTAGGGAAGAGGGAGAACAAGGGAGAGCGGGTTAAGAGGAAGACCCAGGCACACCCCCTCTTCATCCTAGGACACGCAGGGAGGACCAGAGAAGGGATGTTGAGGTAATTCCCCGTTAGGAGAATGAGCGCATACAGGGAGACGTATTTGAGAGAAGTGTTTGAATAATACACAAACAGCACACACATACACTGTACAGTAAATGTAGGGTTTTACTTCCAGAAAGGTTTAAGCAAAGTTCAAAACAAACAGTCCAAAGTCATTCACAGGTAAATCAGTCAGTTTTTCAATCCAGGGATAATCCAATAACTAATTCCAGTGTCAAAAAAAAAAACAGTTCAGTATCAGACTTACATCAAATCCAGGAATATCAGTCAATTAGGAAAAATGGAGCAACGGCAATACTTTCCAACAGAAGGAAACAGAGATACACTCTCTTCTGAGACTCAGACTAAAACTAAAACAACCCAGGTTTCTGGCTCCACCTTATGGCCGTTTGAGAAACCACACCTAATTACAGTTTTGCATTTTCTTAAAGATAACAGTTTTAAAATGTTTACCCTGGTTTATATATTTCTAACCCAAATAGCTGTTAGGTGACTTATATTCCTAACAAGGGAGCAACGTGGGTTGCATGGCTTATGGGCGAGGAAAGGGCCCTGATTCCCTTCATTAGCCACACTTGGGAAGGGAGTTTAAAAAGAGATGCAAGCTGAGCATGGCAGCTGCTGGGAGCAAACATGAGTTTATTTTGTGTCAACTTTGCTTATCTGCGTTCCTGGCATCTTCCCAACCATATTGAATTACTGCTGTTCCTTCACATCTGGAATTCCTTCTCCTTCCCTGCCGGATTAATTACCTCATTTTGCCTTGACTGGACTTTAAGTTACAGTTTTTGTTTACCCTGTTTTGGACTTGATTCTCTGCATCTAAAGGCTGTTCCTGGGAGAGTTTTTCTTCGGCCCAGAAGGTAACCAGGACACTGGGGGCAAAGTTGGAGCTAATAAAGGGACTCTTATTGATTATCTAGCTGTGTTGCCTTTGTGCCACGCCCCTTTGGATCATCACAAAAGGGTCTTATTCTTTCATTTTCTGTTTTTTTGCAACAGGAACGGAATTGTCCATCAGAAAACAAGTCACGGTCACTCAAATTCCGCCTTCATCCTGCAGGATATTTCCTCCACTAACAAAGTGAAATGCAGCGTTACCAGCCAGGTAAATGAACTCAACCCCGCTCAGCACCAACATCCTTGCAGTTGTTGGAATGCTGGTAATCAAATAGGTAGTCCTCGACTTATGACCACAACTGAACACACACACACACACACACACACACACACAAAATTTCCATGGCTAAGTCAGACCGTGGCTTAACTGGACTTTGCCTCCTTTTACGACCTTTCTTGCCACCGTTGTTAAGCAAATCACTGCAGTTGATAAGTTAGTCACCCGGTTGTTAAGCGAATCGGGCTTTCCCTGCGGATTTTGCTTGTCATCAGGTCGCCAAAGGGGATCCTAAAACCGTGAGACACCATCATAAACATGAACTACTTGCCCAGGGTTGGATCACGTGACCCCGGCGATGCTGCAACGGTCGTAAGTGTGAAAAACGGCCGTATGTTGCTTTTTTTCAGGGCTGCTGTAACTTTGTACGGTCTCTAAATGAATGGGTGTGAGTCCAGGACTCCTTGTATTCTGTGCTCAGGGTTTCTCTTCTACTTTGACTGAGTGTGTTGTGGCATGTGGGCCGCCGGCCCCCTGCAGCAGAGGAGGAGGAGACATGAGAGTGGGAAGAGGGAATGGAGCTGAGAGAGAGAGGGAGAGAGAGAAAGAGAGAGGGAGAGAGAAGGAGACAGAGAGGAAGAGGGAGAGAAAGGGAGAGAGGGAGGGAGAAAGGGAGAGGGAGAGAAAGAGAGAGGGAGAGAAAGGGAGAAGGAGGGAGGGAGAGAAAGAGAGAGAGGGAGAGAAAGAGAGGGAGAGAGAAAGAGGGAGGGGGAGGGAGGGAGAGAAAGAGAGAGGGGGAGATGGAGAGGGAGAGGAGGGAGGGAGAGAAAGAGAGGGAGAGGGAGAGAAAGAGAGGGAGTGAGAGAGGGACAAAGAGGGAGAGAAAGAGAGAGGGAGAGGAAGAGAAAGAGAGAGAGAGGGGGAGAGGGAAGGAGGGAGAGATGGAGAGGGAGGAAGAGAATGGTAGAGATGTGGAGCCTGGGCCGTCCATCAGCCCTCAGATGGAGAGTCAACAGCCCCCAGGTCTAGAGGTGGCTGATGAGGAAGAGGAGGAACACCTGGGTCCAGTGCAGAGGTGGTATATTCAGCCGGTTCTGACCAGTTCTGAAGAACCGGCAGCGGAAATTGTGAGTAGTTTGGAGAACCGGCCAATCCCACCTCTGACTGGCCCCGCCAACCCCCATCTCTTCTCTGCCTCCCATCGAGTCCCAGCTGATCGGCTGGGTCTCCTTTGGTTGCCCTGCACAGGAGAACGGAGCTGGAAAGCAGGTCAGTGGGGAGGGGGAGAGAAGGGGGATTTTGCAGTACATCCTTCCCCTGCCACGCCCACCAAGCCACGCCCACAGAACCGGTAGTAAAAAATGTTTGAATCCCACCACTGGTTCAGCGCCTACAAGGTCCCTTCCAACTCTGTTAAATTTGTTTAAAAATTCAGCGTACAAAAACCGCAGCTTTTAAGCCAGAGCTGTCACGGCGTGAAATAGTAAAGCAGTTGATAATAATTTTAGCGGATCCACCATTTGCCGCTGACAGAAGGGCAGAGAATCATTTCTGGCTGAGTTTGGGCCATTGGCTTAATTCAGATTTATCCGGCTGATTTGGAGAGAGTCAATCCATGCGGTTTGATCCTTTTGAACTAAAAACCATCCATTGGGTGTTTAAATTGTTGTGCTAGGTTTTGCTTAAGCTGGCAAATGTGTGTGTGGGTTATTTTGAGGGGCGGGAGTGTAGCGGCAGCAGAGTGGAAATTTGCGTAACGAGTAAAGTTGACTTGAAATTAAATAGTTTCACGCCTGCTTTGATTCAAATTATTGACTCCGTTCAGAGATGTTGGTTCAGTTGAGAGAATGTAGAGAAAAGGAAAGTCCTACACTTAGGCAGGAAAAACCCAAAGGACCCAGGTAGACTGGGTGAAACCAGGCTCAATAGCAGGAACTGGGAGAGGGATCTCGGAATCTGAGTGGACAACCAGCTAAATAGGAGCCAACAAAGTGCAGCAGCAGCCAAAAAATCCAATGCAATCCTAAGTTGCATTAACAGAGGGATACAATTGAGATCAAGGGAGGTACTAATACCACTCTATAAAGCCTTAGTAAGGCCGCACCTAGAGTCCTGCACCCAGTTTTGGTCACTGTGCAATAAAAAAGATGTTTAACATTTCATTTAACATCGGTGGCAAGAGAGGTTGTAAAACGGAGCAAAGCTTACAACAGATTTTTCTCACTTAACAACATAGACACTGGACTCCATTGTCATTGTAAGTCGAGGACTAACTGTATAGGATTTCCTGCTTGTGCTGGGGGTTGGACTAGAAGACCTCCAAGGTCCCTTCCTGAAGCCAGGCAGAGGAAGGGAGAAGGAATCTCTCCAGATGGGTGCTAATATCTTCACTGGATCAAGGGAGGTACTAATACTGCTCTATGAAGCCTTAGTAAGACCACACACCTAGAGTACTGCATCCAGTTTTGGTCACCACACTATAAAAAAGAGGTTGAGACTCTAGAAAAAGGGCAGAGAAGAGCAACCAGGATGATGAGGGGACTGAAGGCTGAAACATAGGGATAATGTTTACAGGAACTGGGCCTGGCTAGTCTAGGGAAGAGAAGGACCAGGGGAGACAGGAGAGCATCTTCCAATATTTGAGGGGCTGCCCCAGAGAGGAGGAGGAAGGGGTCAAGCTATTTTCTAAACCACCTGGAATAATGGATGGAAACTGAACCAGGAGAGATTCAACCTGGAAATAAGAAGAAACTTTCTGACAGTGAGAACAATCCACCTATGGAACAGAAATTGCCCTTGGAAGTTGTGGGAGCTTCATCACTTGAGGCTTTCAAGAAGAGATTGGACTCCCATCTGTCAGAAATGGTGTAGGGTTTCCTGCTTGGGAAGGGGGTTGGACTAGATGACCTACAAGGTCTCTTCCAACTCTGATTATCGGTTAATCTGAGTTGTGAAAATGATGTGATCCACAGTCTGGAGCTGCACGCTACAGGTGGTCCTCGGCTTAGAACCATTCATTTAACGATGGTCCAAAGTTACAACAGCCCTGAAAAAAGCGACCGAGGAACAGTTTTCTCTCTTTTTTATGACCGTTGGAGCACTCCCGCGGCCACGTGATTGAAATTTGGACGCTTGGCAACTGGCATGTACTTATCACGGTTGCCGGTTGCCGGGGTCACCTGTTCTCCTTTTGTGACATGCCCAGCCGCATTTCCGATAAGCAGAGTTTTAATGGGAGAAGGCAGATTTGTTCAATGACTGCCTGATTCACTTAACAACGGTGGTAAAAAGTTTGCAAAATTGGAAATGACACACTTAAACACCTTGCTTAGCAGCTGAAATCCTGCTTTCAGTTATGGTCGTAAGTCGAGGACTACCTATAAGTAGTGCCCTAATATTTTGATAGAGAGCCAGTTTGGTGTTGTGGTTAAGGCATCAGACAGGACTAGAACTCACCGTCTCCTGGTGATTGGCCCAAAGTCACCCAGCTGGCTTTCATGGCTAAGGTGGGACTAGAACTCACCGGCTCCTAGTGATTGGCTGAAAGACACCCAGCAGGTGCCTAAGGCGGGACTGGAATTCATTGTCTCCTGGTGGTTGGCACAAAATTACCCAGTTGGTTTTCATGGCTAAGGTGGGACTAGAACTCACCATTGCCTGGTGATTAGCCCAAAGTCACCCAACCGGCTTTCATGCCTAAGGCAGGACTAGAACTCCCAGTCTCCTGGAGATTGGCCCTAAGTCACCCAACTGCCTTTCATGCCTAAGGGAGGACTAGAACTCCCAGTCTCCTGGTGATTGGCCCAAAGTCACCCAGCCGGCTTTCATGCCTAAGGCAGGACTAGAACTCCCAGTCTCCTGGGGATTGGTCCAAAGTCACCCAACTGGCTTTCATGCCTAAGGCAGGACTAGAACTCACCGTCTCCTGGTGATTGGTCCAAAGTCACCCAACTGGCTTTCATGCCTAAGGCGGGACTAGAACTCCCCGTCTCCTGGTGATTGGCTTAAGGTCACTCAGCTAGCTTTAATGGACTAGAATTCACCATCTTCTGGTGATTGGCCCAGAGTCGCCCAGCCAGCTTTCATGCCTAAGGAGGGACTAGAACTCACCGTCTCCTGGTTTCTAGCCAGGTGTTTTCATCAACTAGACCCAACTGGCAATTTTCAGCCGGGAATTTCACGCTCCCCTCTCTCTTTTTCCTCTCTCCCCAGGTAGCCAGAGGCATTTCCACATTGAAGCCCAGCCCTCCTCAAAGGGTCCCCCACCCTATCAACGTGGTACGACCCTTACGGCCTGGCTGTGCCCCCTCATCCGCCCTACAGAGAGACCTCAAACCTTCCAGGCCACCGCCCTTCCATGGATCGCCTGCTATGCCTCCAAAAGGCAGCTTTGGGGGTCCCACCAAACTGCCCCCTCCGAAGAAGCCCCTTCCGAGCACCCCCATCAGGCCCCCTCCGGTAAGTTGCCTGCTCCCATTTGCCTTATTAGCTTGGGGGGTGGGTGAGGGGTGGTCAGTTCTGGGACCGCCTGTGATGACCCAGGGCATGACACGAAGGCAACACAGCCAGAGAACCGGTCACAGCCAGAGTCCCTTTAGTGGCCCCCCAATGTTCCACTTACTCTCCGGCCTGAAGGAAAACTCTCCCAAGAACCTGCAACAGCCTCTGGCTGCAGAGACTCCAGTAAATCGTGTTTACTGGGGGGGTTTTAAGAAGAGACTTGATAACCGTTTGTCTGGGATGGTATAACATTTCCTTCAAGGTCCCTTCTAACTGTGTATTTCTGTCTAACGAAGAGAAGGACTAGGGGTGACATGATAGCAGTCTTCCAGTACTTGAAGAGGGGAGGGGGGTCCAGCTATTTTCCAAAGCACCAGATGGGAGGACAAGAAGCAACGGATGGAAACGAACCAAGGAGAGAAGCAACTTAGAATTAAGGAGAAACTTCCTAACAGGGAGGACAACTAACCAGCGGAACAGCCTGCCACTAGAAGTTGTGGGTGCTTCATCCCTGGAGGTGTTCAAACAGAGACCGGACAGCCACTTGTCTGAAATGGGACAGACTCTCCTGATTGAGCGGCGGGGGTTGGACTAGAAGGCCTCTAAGGCCCCTTCCACAGGGGTGGGATCTAGACAGTTTGGAACTAGGGGTGATAGCTTGATAGCCGTCTTCCCATCGGGGGTGGGATTCAGCCGGTTTTGAACCAGTTCGCATGAACCGGATGTTAAATTTGCCTTTGGTTCATCGAACCGGTAGTCGAATTGACCGGCTGGCACTGCCTACCCTGCCCCTCCCCCCCCGGATGCAGCTAAGTGCAGGGTCCATGTGGAGGTTCTGGGAGGGGGAAAGAAATGGGCCTTCCAGAAGTCCGGAAATGGGTCTGTTTCCGGCTTCTGGAGGGCCTCCAGAGCCTGGGAGAGGCCGTTTTCAGCCTCCCAGAGGCCCGAGGGAAGCCTCCGGATTCTGGGGAAGGCGAAAAATGGCCCTCTTGGAAGTTCCGATAGGCCACGCCCACCATGGCCACGCCCACCCAGCAACCGGGCGTCGAACCGGTTGCTGGGATTTTTTGAATCTCACCCTTGCTCTTCCAGGGCTATTTTCTGACTCTGCTTTGACCGCCGGTTTCTGTTTTACTCGTTTTCTCCCCGTGGTAGGTCAATCCTCAGGCCAGACCACCCTACAAACCCCTACCCAAGACCCTTCTGGCGAAGGACGTGGCCTCCTCACCGAGTCCACCCTTGCTGGTGATGGTCCCACCGACCAGCTCCAAGCCAGCGGGGATCGGGGCCTCCAACCACCTCTCCAAACCGCTCAAGTAAGTTCGCCCCGGAACGGCGAGGCCTTCCATCCTTTTCCTCCTCGTGCATTTCCTGCCCGGCCATAGGAAGTCCTCGGCGTAGTGACCGTAATGGGGCCTAGCCGATTGTGGCCATGGGTCATCACACGTTGCTAAGCGAATTGCCGCGGTTGTCGCCGGTCGTTCAGCGAATCTGGCTCCCCTCCCCTTGACTTCGCTCGTCAGGAGGTTGCGAGAAGGGATCCCGTGACTCCCTCCAGAGCACTGAGACCGTCGTAATGATGAATCGGTCGCCAAGCGCCTGGATTTTGACCACCCGATGGTGGGGATGCTGCCAAGGTCTTTTCAGTGTGAAAAGGGCCACGTCCCGTTTTTCTTTTAAAAGAGCTGTTGTAACTTTGCGTGGTCACTAAGTGAGTCGTCGTAAGTCGAGGACTCCCTGTAAGAGAGATCTGGAAAAGTTGAGAACATTGGAAAAGTTTGAGCCACGAACATGGACCCCACGGCACACAATTTTGTCATTTAAGCCATGGGTCTTCAACCATTGCAACATTAAGATTTGTGGACTTCAACTCCCAGAATTCCTCAGCCAGCTTTGCTGGCTGAGGAATTCTGGGAGTTGAAGTCCACAAGTCTTAATGTTGCCAAGGTTGGAGACCCCTGATCTCTAAGCTACTAACATACGTTTTTCCTCTTTCTTTCTGTTTCAGGCCAGTTGCACCTCAAAGGTGAGTGTGTTGTAGCCCCTGGGATTCACCTGGGGAAACCCCACTTTCTCCCCACCTCTGTTTACCAGTTTTCTGCTGGCCGTAGGCAGAACTACAATTCACTGTCTCCTGGTGATTGGCCCAAAGTCACCCAGTTGTTTTTCATGTCTTAGCCAAAACTAGAACTCCCAATCTCCTGGTGATTGGCCCAAAGTCACCCAGCTGGTTTTTATGTCATAGGCAAAACTAGAACTCCCTGTCTCCTGGTATCCAAAGTGTCTCAGCTGGTTTTCATGCCTTAGTCTGAACTACAACTCCCAGTCTCCTGGTGATTGGCCCAAAGTCACCCAGCTGGCTTTCATGCCTTAAGGCAAAACTAGAACTCCCGTTCCCTTGGTGTCCAAAGTGTCTCAGCTGGTTTTCATGCCTTAGGCAGAACTACAACTCGCTTTCTCCTGGTGAAAGGGCCCAAAGTCACCCAGCTGTTTATTATGTCTAAGAGAGCGCTAGAACTCCCAGTTTCTAATTTTGTGCCTTAACCCCTGGACCAAACTGGATCTCTTGGTTGACCGCCAAGTGGTTACCTTTCTATGTTTCCCTTCTGGTTGTCCTGAAGGATTTCTGACTTCCGTTGCCTTCCTTCTTTCTTTCTTTAGACCTCTCCCAGGCTTAAAAGTTCAACCCGCTTTGTTCGCCTTCAAGAAGTGATCAGGCTTTGGTCATCCTCGGGCAACGCTGCCTTCTTCGTTTGCACTACTGCGGGTCCAACGCAGGGATTTTTGTTACGAGAGACATTTTCAACTTTTTGAGGGTGGGTGGGTGGATGGATTTTTTTTTTTTTTGGAAAAATGGAAACAGGTCCACCCAAAAAGTGAAGAAACAAGAGAGGAGAGCTGTGGTGAGCGGTCCTTTTGTGGGGCTCTCAAGAGTAGGTTGAACCTTGAGACACGTGGCTTCAAATGATCCCCAGAAGCTCCGTGAACGTGAAGATATCGTGACCTACCTCCGTATTTTGCACAACTTCATGAGATGTTTCTCTCCTGGACCTCCTAGTTCCGAACTGGGTGGACCTGGTCTTAAGTTGGTGTCAGTGATTTACAGGTGGACACCCCAGTTTTCCAGACGTACGATGGAGCAAACCGTGAGATGAAACCAGATTCTCCATCTGGACATTCTTCTAGGACATTGAGATGAGTTCTTAACCTCTGATTTGGAACATGAGTCAAATTTAGATGATCTGGAAGAAACCAGTTTGGGAGAGATGATATAGAAGTCCAAGGGGGTTGATGAGCTTTGCTTGAGTCCTTCTTGACACCTGTTTCTTCCGTCTGGAGAAGAAGGCCGTCTCAGAACATCTCCCATGATTCCAGAAAACTGGAAGGGCCTTGGGAAATGTCCTGATTTCTTGGAAGGGTGTTGCTGGCCAGAACAGGTGTTCCTTGGGCAGCTTCTTGGTTCCTTGAAGTTGGGAGATCCAAGATCTTCATTGGGTGCAGAAAAATCTTGCCTTCTTCAACTCTCTTTCCTCCAGTTATGATGGATAGCCATTTCTATCCCACACATCAGTTGGGACAAAGTTTAGGATGTCTCTCTACAGAGCACGAACGCAAAAATCCACAACAGTCAATCCTACTGTAATCCATGAGGCTGGCGATGAATTAAAAATAGGATCAGAGAGAGGAAGTTCTAGCTTTTCTTTGGGACTGGAAAGTGTCCCGTCCCAAGAAAATCCAGTCCAATTTTTGGTTTTGAGGGATGAAAGCCAGCAGAAGAACAGCACAGGGGAAACAACTTTCCTAACCCAGTACAGGCCCTGTTGACTGACAATGGGAGAGTGACTATGGGGTCATCATAGATGGTGGACCAAGTCTTGGAAGTCCACTCAGCAACCTGT